ATAAATTGTACGCCGCAGAAAGTCATGGACGCAGAGGAACCTTGAGGGAAACAAAGTATAACTGTATAACCTGTATGACATCCAGAGTGGCTGAAGACTACATAACTGACGCGTGCAGACCTGACAACAACGCGGTACCTAAAACATTTACAATAGACAACTTCTTCTTCGAGTGCCCGCACGAGCCGTGCGGTTGTTGAAAAAGGAGCTGCGTAGTGTAAGCCCAATGACACGGTGCAGCGAGACATAGTCAAGCCGCGAAGTTCAAAAATTGAGTAACTAAATGAATGTGATAGTAGTTGCTCTCTGGAGAGAGAGAAGGGGAAAAGAAGAAAAGAAAATCTGGGAGGTTGACCTTATTATACCCTATGGCAGTTGAGGGCGGTGACGTTTCTGGCTATACAATTCACCGTTGAAGACACCGCTGAAGACACCGCTGAAGATCCAAGTCTATGGTTCGGCAGATTGTGACGTTGGTTGTTGGTTGTAGAGTAGATTCAATATTATGCCGCCAGTGGTTCCAAGGTTTGCAACGTAAATCTTACTAACGCCGAACATTAAAGAATTAAAAACCATCGGCACAAGATATGATAATCATTCATAACAGACTAATGGGGAATAATGTTAAGGTCTCGAGTCGGATTTTCAGATCAAGCTTTATGCATGGACACAGGTTTCTGTGGAATCGAGATGTCTATAGCATATGGCGTACTGATGCATTGCAAGATGCTGAACTGTCATAGATTCGGACTCAGAAAGCCGTATAGATCGAATATCGAAGGTCTGATCATACATGGCGCGGGGGCATCTAGCACTTCGACACTCTCCGGGTCGTTTTGATGAACTACGAATTCCTAGAATCCACCGAGGTGCCCCACATAGTATGCGGTGAGCGGCTCTGGGGAATTGTATGCTCCATCTGGAGATTGGCAGCAATAGTCGATTTGGAACTTTGATGTTATAGAAGGACAGAACCCATATCTTGGCTAAAAGCTTGGCAGGGAATCAGTGAGTTTGATTGGCCGATATCAGAGAATAGTGGATCACCTAGCCGCCAACCTTGGAAGCTCTTATTAGTGATGGATTTCAGCATTCAATTGTAAGATTTTTATTGGTTTTCTAGTATATCTTCAGCTCTTTGTAGTCTTCCATACACTTCAATGAAAAGAAAAATATCGTGGAACTCGTCAATTGCATTAATGGTGCCCTCACAAGAGGAACGTAATAGCTGCAGACATCTATGTCCCAGTCCCGGAAGCAAACCCAGGATCATTAGCCCCAGTATCCCTCCTCTCTCTGCGAACCTCCTTCTGTACAAAGCTCTCAGTCCCGGAGCCGGTAGCCGCTGCAGAGGCAGCAGCCCTCCGTTTCGCCTTCTCCCTTTCCTTCTCCTTCTCCTTCTCCTTCTCCTTATCTCTAGCGCTCGGACCAGCCGCCTTCCGCCGTTTAGGTAGTTCATAGACATCATTGAAGTTCATCACAACGCCCAGGAAACGCATATCCACATCCGGCTGGTACGACAGATCGCCGAGGAGGACAGTCAGACGGGAGCGGAACTCGGCGGAGAGTTCGCGGAGGCGGACGCGAAGCGAGGCAAGCATGTTGTCGTCGGCGGCGAGGTTGGAGCCAGATAATGAAAGCGGGGTGTTGACGCCGTCCACCCCAGCACTATCGGGTCGGATATCCGGAGAGGCCATTGAGGTTCCGGTCCGGGTGCTGGATTGGCGGGAGAGGGGATGACGCTCTGTAAGACCCCATTGACCCTGAACGGAGCGAGTCTCGATCTTGGCATTTATCTCCTGGCGGCGGGTGAATTCTGCAACGGAGAAGGAGTACAGACCATCCACAGCGTCTTTGTAGGCAAGCATGAATTTGAGAATCTGGTGGAGCTGGCTGAGGAAACTTTCTTCGGGTTGTTTGGTGGAGGTGGAGGTTGAGGTGCCGTAGCGTGAGGAGGATGCAGATCCTAGTAGACCCTTGTGGGTGATGGAGTTGAGGTATTTGGTGTGTGCTTCGATAAGGTCGTCCAGCGTGCAGTCCGGTCTCCGGATGGCCTCAAGTAGTTGTTCCCAGCTGGACTCGATAACTTCGAATAGGATATAGTATTGAAGCTGATTGACGAAGTGGATCATTTCTGCAATCACACAGCGTGCTCGCTTCCAGTCTGCTCCGACTTTGTCTTCCACGTTGCCGAGCACCCCTCGTGCACCTGTCATGCATCGTCGCCACGTGCTATTCAGCGCGAACTCAACTCGCTTGATGCGCCAGAGGAAGTTGAACACCTTCAAATATTGGGTTGATGCCCAGGGTGTGATGACCACGTCCACGGGAGCGTCGATTTTGTATTCCAAGGTGAAGCAGTCCCATCCAATTTCACCGTGGCTTAGCTCGAGCATACGGGCATCAAGCCGGCGCAACACTTCTGGGGTGTCGTATTGTGCATTGGAGGCCCGGATAGCATGTTCCAGCTGTGCAGTTAGGGTATGTCGATATTGTGAATTTGCTGGGCGATCCAGATTTGTGGCCAGCGACTCCATGAGTAAAGCAATGAAGTCTCCTTGGCCCAGTAGCAGGTAACTCTTCAGCGCTTTTAGGTGATCGAATAGGTTGAATTTCCCATTCATCAAGGAAATCAACCGAGCCATTGTGGTTTTATATGCCTCATCAATGGAGATCTCGAGAGTAGCGGTGTCACCATATCGAAGCTCCTTGGAGGCTTTCTTTGAATAAGCCTCCACCCACGCTGAATCACCGCAGCCATGGCGAATGAAGTTCAAAGATTTTCCAATGAGGAAAATCTTCTTAGCAAATTCCTGAGTAATAATTGAGGGTAGCATGTCATCATCAAGCTTATATTTGTCCTCCCAGACGCTAGTTGCAAGCCGCCGGGGGTCAGTCTTCGGCCGGAACTCTGGATCAGCGACGAAGAATTCCTTGTATGGATCTGATAGTTCACCATCGTAAATCCATAGTCGTAGCATATCGTAGAATGGGCGCGTTACATGTGCAAGAAGTTTCTCAGCAAATGAACACACGAAGGGATCTCCGTGGGATGTTGAAAAGCCGTGTATTAATGAAATCAACTGGCCACCTCTCTTGCCTGTGACATGTGTCAGTCATTAAGAAAATGCCGTTCATTTTGTCTGTGCACTTACTCTGAGCCTCTTCCACAATCAAGCTCATCAGTCGAAGGGCCATCGTAGCATCTCTCGTCCACACCACGCATCGCTTCAAGGTAACGCCACCCTTTCGTACACCTTGAGGCTCGGTTCCATCTCCAATCGCGGCCAGCGCCTGTCGGATTTCCGCCTCTAGTGTAGCTACCAAGCTAAGATATGCGCGCAGCTCAACGGCAATGGCAGCTCGCAAGCTCTGGTTCACCAGTCCACCTTCTTCGCTCCCCACAAACACAGACAGTCCTTTATAGAGCAGACAAGGCTCCGCCAAGGTGTTAAGAAGTGAAGTTATTGGCGCAGACAGATTCGAGGGCAATTTCAAGCTCGACGAGGAACTAAATTGCAGATTCGACGAAGACAACCCTTGCAGGTTAAACGGAAGGTCGCGCAGGAGCCTATGCTCAACAGACCCCGAGAATTTTGCCGGGCCCGATGGATTAGCACTCGAGGGCCGAGGCGAAGCAGCACGAACATCCTCGTCGCCGGAACGGTCATTCACCCCAGCGTCAACGCGGGTGGCTGGTATTTCAGTCGCGCTGCGCCCAGCCTGGTCTATACCATCACGATCAATATCATGTCGCAACGAGCTCTGCCGCTCCATCTTCGGCGGCAGTACGCGTTGGTGTTGCTGCGAAGCCGACGAGCTAACAGCGGGGCCCTCATCCTCCGAGTCGATAATCGTACCCCGTCTTGGACGTGCACCGCCCTTCCCCAGCATATTGTGCAAATGTGCCTCGTCCATCAACGGACTCCGGCTTCGTTCCCCGCCCTCCACTAGCTCATCCGAGGCGGACAGCTTATAGAGCAAAAAGAGGATACCCCATTTCTGCGACAGCACAGGCTGCGTCAAGAGACGAGAGTAGAGATTCGAAAATCGCACCGCCTTATCCGGGCTGACATTTTCACGGCGCAGCTTGCGCTTGATTAGATCTGGCGCGTTGTTGATGCTCTCTGTTCCCGCGAGACTTCCGCGCCGTCCACCAAGTCCCGCCGGTGATCCTGGGTCTGGGGCGTTGGTGCTGGCGTGCGTGTCGAGGATGCGCCAGGCGCGCTCCATGAGAACATGGTGACGCCGGCTTTCAGCTGAGGCGAGTGCTTCCTCTGCGTCGGAGTAGTCTTCGTCTTGAATGGCGGAGATCGGGAGCGCGGGGGTTAGGCCGTCGACTAGCTGGGAGAGGGCGTCATCTAAGCGGCGCCCGCGCGCAGGGTTTCGGGCTGGATTCGACATCATCTGCCCGGTGCCCTAGTGGGCGAATTGTTCGGTATCTTGTATCTGTTCGCTCGTGATTGGCGTCTGTGGGTGCTTTGTTTGCGGAGGAATTGTTGGGCAAGAAGAGATCGCGGCCAGGCAGCGGGTTAGGGAAGAAGGTCGCAAGTCAAGCCTGATCCTAGACTGTACAGTTTCAATACACGTCTGAGAGAAACCTTCCAAATTGCGTTTCAATGGACGTAAAGCGGACTCCAGCTTGAAGCTTGAATGTTTGTGTTTGTGATGTTTGGCGTGTGTTGATGCCAATTCCCTAAGGCACTTTATCCTTATCGCCCTAACTATCGCAATCTGAGTTTGCCCTCACGCGATATAGTTACATGCCTACCTAGGTACTACCTCCTTTATTATCCTGGACTGTGGGGTGAGCTTGGGAGATCTCCCCGGACTCCCTGCAAGGTTCCAAAGTTGTCTTCTTCGCTTATCATCCGTTGTTTGTCATGGCAAAGCGTTTACGGTCTTTATTCAATATTCGAAGGCAGCTCACGCTATCCACTAGTTTCCCGGGCCTGGTTTCGCCGCTCTATCGGAGAAACATTGCCACTACTTATCGCAGAATGGACTCTCTCGCTCCCTACACATCCCCCGAAACATGTGATCCAGTTGAATATATGCCTCTTGAGGACATAGAAAATCCTGGACGTTATCGCCCTGGAGGATATCACCCTATAGCCATTGGCGACCGTCTTAGTGACCGCTACGATGTCGTTCATAAGCTTGGCTTTGGTACTTATTCGACAATTTGGTTAGCAAGAGATGCGAATACGAGAAAGTACGTGGCCATCAAGATTGCCATCGCCGAAGCAGCTATGCCGGAGAGTAAAATTCTCAACGTCCTAGCACTCTCAGAACCAAGCGACGAGGGTCATCCCGGAAAAGATCTGATCCCTCATGTATTGGATATGTTTTCCCTTGATGGGCCCAATGGAAGACACAGATGCCTTGTTACAGAGCCTGGGATGATGACCCTAGATGAGGCGAAAGATGCGTCATATACCAGAATTTTCAAATTGCCTGTGGCCAGGGCCATTGCAGCCCAAGTCATACAAGCTGTCGCTTTCCTACATCACCGAGGGGTAGTTCATGCCGGTATGTATTCTTCTACTATGAGTTATTAGTCTGGCTTTTACAGGCGTTACTAACGGGATTCGCTGCAGATCTCCACGCGGGGAATATATTGTTTCGCTTGCCGAACAGCATAGACGAGCTTTCACCTGAAGAATTATACCAAAGATACGGTCACCCTAACGTCGAGCCTTTTGTGCGCCTTGATGGCAAGTCACTTTCCGACGGAGTTCCTACTCACGGTGTTGTGCCCATTTGGTTAGGGAAAGAAAGCGAGCTTATTATCCTCTCTGAAGCTAAAATTCTTGTCACTGACTTTGGAGAGTCATTTCTGCCATCTATTACTCAACGTCACTATTCCAATACGCCCGGTATCCTTGTTCCTCCGGAGACCTACTTTTTGCCTGACGAGCCTTTGTCATTTCCCTCTGATGTATGGACTCTCGCATGTACCCTCTGGGACATCATTGGACAAAAGCCACTATTTGAGGGTTTCAATCCGTCTAACGACTGGATGATAAAGGAGCACGTGGATGCGCTTGGTAAGCTGCCGTGCGACTGGTGGCAGAAATGGGATGCACGAGAAAGATGGTTTACGGAGAAGGCTAAGAGGACATCTGAAGGAGCAGGCAGATCTTTGGCTAACCGCTTCATTACTTCTGTGGACAAGCCGCGGCGGGAAAGCGCAATGGAAGAAGAGCTTGGGGAGGCCGAGAGGACTGCCCTACTTACCATGTTAAGGGGAATGCTGGCTTTTAGGCCGAATGAAAGGCTCACTGCTATGGAAATCGTTGAGTCTGAATGGATGCTGAGATGGGCTCTGCCAGTACTTGGAAAAGTATCCGCTTAACAGGTTGTCTCAGCAACTACCCGTGGACTGATATTTATTGGTCAGCCACATGACTTACGACTAAACCAAATTATACGTCAAGTCTTCATTCACGCGAATGCAAACGCGCATGATAGGCACTGCAACTGCATCATGCTAACGGTGGGGACCGTTTCCCTTGTTTTCGAGGGCGAAACGTTACTTAGGTAGGATTAACTAGTTAACGGACGGAGTAACTAAGAATCCTGAGTCTTAACTAGGTAGTTATTGTCTCAATTAATATTTCGATGATCTTTTCGATCTCAGTACCACACAGTTTAAGACCGCAGTATAGCCTTCACCGACCAATCGTGAAATTATGCATTATGGAATATGCGCAAGGAACTTGAACCCTTCGGTCCAAATTCCAGCAATTGTTGAGCTCAGGCCCAGTAAATGCACAGTCAAAGTGCAGCCAAGGTGTACGCAACATTGCGGGCATCATTTGGGTCATTTTCAGAGCAGACCCGCTATAGTGACGTCCATGATCATTCAAGATCTGTAACATTTGGAGCCACCCCAGAGGCGACCCTAACAAGCCATTAATTGCTTTATCTCTATTCTTTTTCTTTTCAAGCTCTTCTATTTCTCCAAATCCATGTCCCTATTTTAGTAAACCAAATGTGCAATCTCGCAATATGGACACAGGCACATCTACCTCTACGACCGCGCGGCCATTTTTCAGAGTACTAGGCAACGCAAAGCTCAAATTACTTGCTATATTCTTAACCGTTTCGACTATCCTCCTACTGACACTATACTCGGGAGAATTATCAGAAGACATCTCACGTAGCACGAAAAACGAGTCTGTGAACGAGAAAGACTACTGGACATGGGAAACGAGCACTCGATTCCGGAAACCCAAGCATAAAAATGACAACGATGACACAGGGAATTCGCAAAAAGCGACCTGTGACGGATTCCCATCAGACATGCTCTCGCGCATTCAGATTATCTTGAAAACCAGCGCAACCGAAGACCCGAAACGAATCGACACACACATGGCCTCTGTAACGCGCTGCATTTCCAACTTGCTAGTTATATCAGATAAAGAGACCGAGCTGCATGGCCATCGCGTGCACGACATTCTAGCAGATCTATCCCCGTCATCCCGGAATCAGACGCCGGAGTTCGAAGCGTACGAAGCACTCCAACGCGGGGAGAGCAATATCGACAGCGCAACGGGGTGGAAACTCGATCGGTTCAAGTTCCTTCCCATGGTGGAGCGTGCTAAGAAAGTGAACCCCGGCGCGGAGTGGTACGTCTTTCTAGAGACGGATACCTACTTCGTGTGGGATAATCTGTTTCGAATGCTGGAACAGTTCGAGCCATCGTCCCCTCTGTATATGGGGTCTCCTGCGCCAGGCCGCGATATCGGTGACGGGAAGGTCAATTGGTTTGCATACGGTGGCGCGGGCTTTGTGCTATCCCGAGCTGCGGTTGATGCATTGGTGGCGCGGGAGGTTGGTGAGTATGGGGAATTTATTGGACAGTCGCTCAGTGAGCAGTATATGCAGGTGGTGAGAGATGATTGCTGCGGTGACTCTGTGCTTGGGTTTGCGCTGTTTGAAAAGGGCATTGAGTTGTCTGGGTTGTGGCCGATGTTCAATGCGCACCCGCTGGACTCGATTCCGTTTGGTGATGATCATCACTGGTGTCAGCCTGCGATCAGCATGCATAAGTCACAATTGGGTGATATGACCGGCCTGGCGGACTGGGAGGATGAGCGGGATAGAACAGTATGATTCCTTTTTTTTTGTCGAGCTTACTGGTACACATGCTAATCCCTATGTATTATAGAAACCTTTACTTTACGCAGACTTGGTTGACTACCCTCGTCTGGGTCAGTTGTCAGAGCGAAAAGGATGGGATAATGGAGCCTGGGGTGGAATCATCGAACAACCTGATACTCTACCCCAACATGAGTCATTAGAAGCTTGTCGCCAGACATGCCATGACCGGGATTGGTGTATGTCTTACACTTATGACACTGCTGGAGTCTGCGTGTTTGTGCGGAGTTTGCGACTTGGAGCAAAGAGCAAGCTGGAAATTGCCGAGCAATTTACCGCAGGATGGGACAACGACAAGATCCAAAATTGGCGGGTGAACAACATGTGTGAAAAGCCCATGTGGATGAAGCCGAGTTTGACAAGAATTTTCTAGATTTTAGACATTTAGACGTGTACACGATTGTCATGGATTTGTTATAAAACGTTAATGATATATGATGGCCTGAAGAGTACGACTCCTATAGATCCCATAGCTACGAGCTACAACCACGAAGCACATCCAGCATATATATAACTAAATAGAGATTCTACGAGAACGTATAACACACTTTCAAAGCGATTGTGGATTCATTTGCCCAACCATCTGGTTTAAGGAAACTAGTCAAACACATCAAAAAATCAAAAGTTATCCGTACGCCACCCAGGAATCATGTATTTCGACACAAGCAACCCACACTTGGGAAAACAAACAATACACCGATGTGCTCTCAAGTATTAGACAAGCGAAAGGTAAAAAGTTCCTCTGAGCCATCAAGGAGGAGGATTAAAAGAAGAGAAGAAAACAAGCAAAAAGGGGTAAAAAATACAACAAGGGAAAGGGGGAACATCATAAAAACAGAACATCAACCTCGAAGCAGCCATAAATCGAAAGAAAGCATCTTATACGCCGAGTTGACACACCCTCAAAAAAAGGTCATTCCATACCACCAAGTTAGTCCGTCCATTTTTGAGTCGTGAGGATCATTAACACCTGCCCATGCCAGAACAATCGGCGGAGCCTTAGCCGAAGGAAACCCCGAGAGAGGAAAAACAAACTCCTAGGAAGAAGAGATCAACCGCCGGGTCTAAGCAGTGAACTGTATTTCCTACATGCGGCGAAAAGCACGATAGGTATCTTGAGATGAGAAACAAAGCAAGCTATCTCATCGACGCATGCCCTGTGTAGGGATGCCACCGGGCTGCATACCCATGTTGGGCGGCATATTATACCCGTGGTGATCATATCCGGCTGACATGCCGTTCATCATAAGAGGACCGAGTCCCTGGGCCTGAGAGACCGGACAATCCTTGTGTGCCAGCAATAGAGTCTTGAGGTTGACAATCTCTTCACGCAGCTGAGTCACGGTAGAAGTAAGGACATCATTCTCCGAGGTGAAAAGCTCCACCTTGTTTTGAAGGTTAGCCAGCCACTGCTTCTTCCGTTGGCGACATTTCAAAGCGGCGACGCTGATGGCAAACGTTAGTTATTCCGAGTTCCTGAATAGATGAAAAGGTTGGATCATTCATACCGATTCCGCTCCAGGAAATTGCGTCTTTTCTCCTCATCAGTCATCTTCTTGGTATCCATTGGGAATTGTTTCATATCATCGTCATCCTCGTCCTCGTCATCCATATCCGAGGGCATCTCCACATTGGATTTGGTCCTTTTGTTGGATCCCTTCGGGGCATCTTCGGCCTTGCGGCGGTTATTGGCAGCAGGGGCCTTAGGGGCGTTCTTTTTGCCCTTGCCCTTAGCGGGTTTAGCAGGTTCGTGATCAGATGCATCCCCAGCACTGGTACCATTGGTGTTCTGGGAAACACGTCGGGCTGCAGCACGGGTATCAGTTGGCATCTGGGCATGGTTCATTGGCGCATTGTTTGCCTGGCCACCCTTTGCCAGCATGAACAGTCCGTTTGCCGCATCGGCTGCATCATGCTGAGTGAAGTCAGCGGGCCGAGCTGGTTTTACATCCATATTAGCAGCAGCCTGTTCCTGCTCGTTAGGGTTGGAAGTGGGAGCATTCGCGTTGTTCTTCTTCGCTGCGAGTGCGGTACGATGGAAATCAATAGTGGAAGGAGTGGCACCGCCGTTCTGAAGTTGTTGCAAGAGAGCTTGTGAGTTGGGACTGGGGGCCGGGAACATGGAACCTCCACCGCCAGGTGTCAGTCCCGTGCGGAGGGATGACTCGTTCGGGGTAGGGAAACCGCGACCGATACTATCAAAGTAGTCATTAGGGCCGGTGGGCCCAGGGAGCATCGCCGGACTAAGAGGTCCCGAGCGTAGGGAGTTGTTCCAATTGTAACCAGTAGTAGAAGTTGTTCCAGGTAAGGCCGGTGAGGTGAGGGCAGCAACAGAGGGAAGAAGCGATTTGCCTGGGGTGTCGGCTGGATTCCCTCCGAACGATTGCTCAAATGGATTGGGTTCTAGTGAGAAAGGATTGTGCATGGAATTGAAGTAGTCCGGGGTATCAGACGCAGTAGGCGCACCCGGTCGTGGAGGCGGTGCCAACGAGGTCTGAGGCTCTACGTTAGATTTCTGATCCTTCTGTGAAGACGCGGCCTGCGAGTCTGGTGGGGAAAAGGTTCAAGTTAGCAACGCGCCAAGAATTAATGCGATCGCAAATAGGTACCACTGCAGTTTTGGGATCGAGTTGGGGGCTTCATTGTGGAAGATTCATGTGTTGGTGGGGAGGAAATCAATGACGCCAGTGAGTGAAGTCATCGCGACGGCAAATGGACTTGGGGGAATTTAAGGATTGGGGGGAGGAGGGGAGGAAACAGTGGCGTATTACCAAACCAAAAAGGGGACTTTTTTTTTTCTCTCTTTTCTGAAAGTATAACGCAGAACATGAAATAAGGAAGAAAAAAAAACATTCAGATGAAAAGTACTAGAAAAAAATGCGCAAATGCAAATGTAAAAAGCGTGACACACGAACCTTCTTTTTCCTTCTTGCAGTCAATGGGAGAAGACATGTTTGATCGAAGAGTCGATACAGCCGAGGCGACGGCAGCAGACATCGGGTTTATTCAAAGATAATGGAATATAAAAATGCTGCAAAGCCAAACAAACAATGGGCTTTTCTGGGAGAGTCGAGTTGTGAGAGGGAGAGTGAGAGGAAGAGAGTGACGTAGGGGAAGAGGGATATGATGAAATTTAGGGAATTGGGGGGGATTTTGAAGAAGAAAAAAACACAATTACAGTCAGGTACTGTA